TGTTTGTTATTTAAAAAATCTTATGCCAGTATTTCAGAGGTTTCTGAGGAAAGATAGTCTACTCTATCACCCGTATTAGTTGTCAGATCTAATTACTTTTGAGAAAAGTGTTGTCAAATAGGAAGCCACGTTGTGAGGTGCATGAAATGTATTTCAGTTTTATATATCTTGAGATTTTTCTCTGCATGTGAACAAAATAATTTTGAAATAAAAGTATTCTCTCACACACAGAGACCCTTGAATAAGATTTGGAGCCTAGGCAAGGGGCTGGGCTCAAGCGTAGATCACCTGATCAAAGAAAGCATTTGCGTATTTTAGCCTATATACCTCAGTCACATGAGAGGCACATGAGAGATACTGCTATGTCTTAGCTTTCTACCTGCTGGAATTGCAGCAGAGTTTCTTCAGAGATCTGTGGGTAAGCTTATATTGCCTCAGCCTGGCCATTTTAAATGGTTGATTTTTTTTGAAGCTTCATGAAAGCTAGTAGCAGCAATAAGTTCACTCGCCACCCATTTTACCTCCTCCTACCAAAAAAGGTTACGATTAATTCAGTTTGTGGAAAAGAGGCATAGTGATGCAAACTGGAGACACTAACTTCTTTAGAAAAGCACAGTACAAATACAGACTAAGAATGAAAAACTACTCTGGTCAAATTAGAACAGAATTTTGCTAGAATCACTGGAAGTCACCCCTGGAAAATAACTCTCTAGGTCAGTCTTGTATCAGCATAGGAGGAACCTAGGTTAATCATGAATTACATTAAAAAAAGAAAAAATAAATAAATACATAATTTGAAGGAATACCTTTCTCCAAGAATCAGAAATCTTATATGCTGGATGGAATTCACAGAGAATGCTCTATACATCAAACCAAATGGAAGATGAAAAATTTTGACAAAAAAGTTAGAGCAAATTTAGAATGTAATGTGTTAACTCACACAGAGTTAAAAAAAAAAACTAAACATTTATTTTTGGGGGGAAAAATAAAAGAATAAATCTAGTTTCAAATAGAGGAAAACAGGAAGGGAGAAAACCAGAAGGAAAAACTAGAAGGAAAAACCAGAAGAAATTATTTCATTGGCGTAACAGGCATGCAGGCTTAAAATTATAATCCTGCCAGTTGCAGGCAAGGATACAATTAGGCAAATATATATTGCTCTGAAGGATTATTACAATGCTACAGATACAAAGAAGAAAAACAATACTTTTGGATGGCACATCTGGGTTGCTTGTAAGTAGCAACCATGACAGGTGGCTATTTTGGATGGCCAATTTATAGTTGTGTCTTACATCTCTGAGAGATAAGTAATATTTAAAAGCCCAATTCTTTAACATGATGAATATTATTTCAGACCAGATTTCACCAAAATTGTATGGGGAGATATTTGAAGTCTTTGGGAGAATTTAAAGGATGTAAGTCCAATACCTGCAAACCTAAAACTTCCATTCAGCTGAGAGAGAACCTGGGTTACAATGTTTCCTGGGCATGAAGGGGAGGGGGAAAAAAAAAATCAGAAATCTTTTGCCCAACTTATAGCATAGGTAGGAACAGAACTGTCCAGCCTAGTGTTTCAAGCCATCACCTGCAAGAGGTAGAATCTTCATTCAGGTCATTGCTCCCACCTGTTTTTGGTGGTAGGAGCTAGCTAGTGGGATAGCTCCCACTATCACAGATAAAACACTGCAATATTTTAAGGAAAAGAGAGGTTTGGTCTCAGGATCCAGCTATGGCTCTCTTCAAGGGCTGCCTTGAAATAATTAAGCTGTTTTCTGTAGAGGTGTGATTTTTCTACTAAAATAATTCATCTCTACACAACCCAGTATGTGGAAGCAGTTGAAGTGATAAAGCATTCATTACAGCAAAAAGCATTACATCTTGAAGTGTAAGCATCTTTTTATCAGTACAATTGCATTAACACTAGAGGAGCACGTCCCTTTAACTATCAGAAAGAAGAAAGTTTGGTATGCATCTGAATTGATTTGTTAAACTCAAAACCAATTCAGTAAGTGAGGTTTGAATCAGTGACTTTAACATGAGTTTCCCCATTCAGAAAGTTAAGTATGTGTTTAAGAGTTTGTAGAACTGGGATGGGGGAGCATACTTTTCAGATATAATCTCAGTTTTGAAGCCCTCATTTTTTTAAGGTTCAAACTTTGGAAACTTATAGCCCACAAAAGAGTAAATCTTGGAACAAGCCTGGGATTTTTGGTTCAGTGAAAAGACCAAAAATAGTAAAAAAATAAAATAAAAACCACCAAGATTTTCCCAATAAGGGCAAGGTTTCATGGTGTCTGAAGCAAGAGTACTACTATCTAAATTTTCATTTTTGAGGCAAATAATGCTTTTTGAGTAATGCCTCTCTTGATACAGATGTCTTTTCATAAAGAAAAGGAGTCCAACACTGCCTTCAGCGCTTCTCTTAAAAAAGGTTCCGTCTCTTGACCACTACATGATTTAGTTATTTTGACAATGTATCCGTTTTTAGAGAATGTTTCCCAAACAAAGTCTGGACTTCCATTGTCTAAGCATCATTTAAGTTTGATTTTTTTCCCCCCCTTAAATAATATTTTTCCATAAAAAGAAACAAAGCCTTTAGAAGTTCTAGGTCAAATTCTTTACTGGAGAATCAGAGCTGTGAAAGCGGTACAGAATTTTGCCCACTGATATATTGCCTGGCAATTTATACTGTATATGCAATAGTCAGCATAACCCTTGTGTTTAATATTTTTCTCAGAATGTTCAATATTCTTTAAAATCTTTATATGTAAAGAAAGAGTCCCAACGGTTGAAGAATGAAAAAAATTCAAGTTGTTTGTACAATTTAATTCTCCCCCCTTGCTCCCAAGCATTATAATATGCCTTTTATTCACATGATCACATACTATTTTTCTCCACTTAACTGATGTGACCAGCATGCAAATGCATAGGACACAGAACTAACAACTCAGTAAATCCCATCATTTCAACATCCTGATGTGGCTCAGTAAATTAAAAGATATTTACTGTCCAAATTTGGCATTAAATCTATTGTCATTTGTTTCCTTCTAAGCTGTAACATGGTGAAAATTGCTATTGCATGCGATTACTTCAGAAAACATACATCAACATATCTTGTGAGAGAAGAAGAAAAATACATAACAAATGCAGCTTTGGGAAATTAATATTCAAGCGTTTCAAACTTTTATGTAGCAACTGCTCAAAGAGCAAGACTGAGAAATTCCTTATTGCCTCGTGGGAAGTACAGGCTCAGGTGCATTCAGACAGGAAAGGGGATTGAACCTAGTCTCCAAAATCTGGAGTGAATATTCTCATCACTGATGCTCTCAGTATAAAATGACCTTCTTTCAATATTTTGTGCTGCTTATTCTTTGATTTTCTTCTCAATGTCAGCAAATCACTTATTTGGTGAGGGTAGCAAACAGCTACAATCAAATGTTCAGTTTTATTTCTCTCCTTTATAAGAGTTATAATCCTTGGCCACATAATTAACATTTTAAGAAGACTTGCACCAATTATATAATAAAATTGTTCCACCTAATCCTCTTACGCACTATTTTGTTGTTCACAATACATTGGTGAATAACTCAAAAAAAAAAAAAAGAGATACATCAAAAAATACATCAAAGTTTTATCCGTACTTGAGATTGAGTTGCGTGGTCGGTTATGTTGGGAAGCATCAGCCGAGTTTGCCTACTGTTCATTTCACAGAGACTCCTTAGATAATCAGTTCAGAAATACAGTTTTGGCTCAAATGATCCTGACTGAGTTTGCAAACTATCTGATAAAATTAAAAAAGGAAAGGGAAAACAAGGGAAATTCAGAAGAGAAAAGGAAGTGGAAGTAACGGAGAGGACAGAGTAAAAACAAATAAGAGAGGCTTGAGAAAAGTTTGGTAAGCAAAGAAAAAACATGAATTAAAAACTGTAAGGAAACTATATTTTACTTCACACAAAGGGAAATAATTGAAAACCTGTAAAATATGACGAAATTAGCTTACGTAGAGGACAGAATTGCTTGTTTGCTAAATAGGAGTAATTTTAAAACATTACAGACTGAAGCAGCAGCATCTGTTCTGAGCTACAGCCCTGAGGATGCCGAGAGTAAGGATATCTAGGCATTTATTTCTATTTTATTCACCTTCAACAAATTCCTGACTTGGTATGGATACTGTACCGCTCTGTTTGGCCTAGAACATGCTTATGACATAAATTTTTATGAAATTTGTGATAAAGGATAATTAGGGGAAGATTGTCCTTTTTTACTGAGAGGCTGAAGGAGATTTTTTTTCTGGTGCTTTGAAGATGGGAGTTTGTTTGGATTTCCTCTCTGCAGTACAGCACAAATATTGCAGCCATAGGCTGGGACAGAAAAGCTTCCATGATGATTAGCTATAAAGAGTAAGACAATTTCTACTGTTTTCCTGGTTTAACTGAGTAAGGTAAATGGAAAACATGCAAACAGCAGAAACGACGAAAAGTAAATTCCACTGCCTTTTGTTCGATTAGGTTACTGTGAGCGCTTTGACTCCTAGGTAACCAGACCTCTGCTTTCAGGGATGTCTCTGTCCTCCTGCAAGAGCAGTGCAAGTTCAGGACCTAAATCCTGAAATCTTTATTCATTGCTTTGGGTAGTAGTAACATTTCTTCTACGTTGCTTACATTTAAAAGTGGGAAAGCAGAAAGATTTTTGAAACTTCCAAAATGCAGTGAAAGTTGCTTATGCCATTTTCTTAACATTGGTTAGGGTTTTTCCGTCTAAAACCATCAAGACCAAACACAATTTTTAGGATTCAGATTGTGCTGTAAGTTACGGGAACAAACATCATGAACACAGACTAAATTATTCCAACAAAATTTGAGAAGCTAACAGAGCCTGAGCCTTGGCGAGATCTGTGCGCAGACAGCTGGAGGAAGTACAGTCCAGCGATGCAACGGTAACATTAGAAATGAGACAGGGCGGCTTTAAGAGCAAAACAGGAAGCTGTAACCAGAATCCAGCTGAATTCGGAGCTGGGGCACTTTGCCGTGAGCCTGCAAATGAAGCAGATGTGCTTGTGCATTTCTGTAGCGTCTGGACGTTTTTGTACCAAAGGTGATAACGCCTTCCTTCATCTGTGATTTTTTTCCTTTTATTTTGCACGTATTTTCCACAAAGGGAATGAAATGGAAAAGTTAAGGAAACATATATCAGTGAAAGATGAAGATCAGTTTTATCATCAGGGAGCTGTGGAGTTGCTGGTCTTTAACTTTCTGCTCATTCTTACAATATTAACAATTTGGTTGTTTAAAAACCATCGATTCCGCTTTCTGCATGAAACTGGAGGAGCCATGGTTTATGGTGAGTATAAATTCAAGTGCCAGTTAAAATGAGACTAGTCGCATATATATATATATGATCGGGCACTTCAGATCAAGTGCTGACAAAGCTCAGAAAATATGCTGAAATGTCATCACGCCTTAACTGTGAAATAGTAACGCAACTTAATCGCCTCTCCTGGAGTAGCTGGAGGCTGACTTGCTGAGGGAGTGAATATCATGAGATATTGCCCTCACGATGTGCGTGTTATGCTGCTCTCTGGGCAGGCAGCCCCTGAATGACACTTGGGGAGTAAGGGAACGTACTGTTTGCAAAAGAATGAAATGCCCACACTGAAAGAGATTATGCAACGTGCATATTTTGCATGCTTGTTTTGTGTAACCTTCAAAGGTGGTGGACTGAGAAGTCTTGTGGATATGCCCGTGTTTTCTAAAAAAAAAAAAAAAAAAAAGTTTCAACCATCTGAAGATTTTTGGTTTTTTCCACTGTGCCTTTGAAAAGCAGACTATGAAGAATGCCTCCCTCTAGTCTTCTCTGAATGGTGTCGTTGTACTGTTATTTCAGTTTGCCTGGCTAGTTCTAATCTTCCTTTATGCAGTTTTGCAATATTGTGCATCACTTTCATGCAGAACCTTCTGCATTGTCCACTGCTAAGCAGTACTTGCCAGTTTACTTATACACACTTGTGGGTGTAGTGATTTCTTGTCATTCTCTCTTACTTGTTTCACATTGAGAAAAATATGTGATTTCCATTTCCAATAAAATACATATAGCGGTAACATACATAGGACTGAAGAAAAAGATAAAAAGGTATAAAAGATACAAATCAATAGCTCAGTCATTATGCATCTGAACTCCAGCCTATTTTGACTCTGACTCGTTCTATGCACATCACATACACTAGAGACATAGTAACCACAACAATTTTTTGTTCAGGTTGCATATGCTGAAGAACTTCTCATTATCGTGTTACACCACCTGCAAAACCTCTGTGGAGGTTCAGTTGCAAGCTTGCAACTTACCCTTACATTTAGGGATGGAAGTTCCATTGGCTTTTTCAATACCAAGCCCTTCGGATGATCCGAGTTCCACAGGAGGACTGCATAAGAAGATCACAGTCCTCCTTGTATTCCTTTCAAACTAAATAGGTAAATTTAAAGGTGAATATGAAGTTTCAGAAACATGGGCTATTTCATCTTCTTGGCTCACTTCCAAAGCAAGTAAACAAGAAATTCCTGCATTAAGCCAGTCACCCAGCTCCTGTTACTGCGGTGGGTAAAATCAGTGGGATCTCTTACTTCTCATCCGTCCCGTTTATATTTTTAAGTTGTGAAAAATAAACCATTTGATAATATGCCCTTTTTTATCTTGAAATCTGTCACACCTAGAAAAAACATTGAATTAGTTGATAGTGATACACATATTAGATGGTACTTAGTTAAATACAGTGTTTTTCCCTGTCATGCATCACCTAGCTTGGTGCACAACAGTTTTTAGACTTTACAGCCTGCACAGCATCACTGCAAATACATTTGCTTGTTGCATTTCTGTTAATATCTGCCAAAGGGAAAAAACATTAAATATTGTGCAACATATTCATTATAATCCACTTGTAAAATACATGGCAATGTTTTTCTAATTATATGGGTAACTCTTCCTTCACTACTTTTGAACACTTTCCCACATAGGGCTTCAACATCAGGTGAAGATTTAGACAAAAGCGTATGAAAATAGTTATATAGGGGGGGAATACAATCTATAGAAATAAATCAGTATTTCTTTAGAGTTTATCCATCTTTGGGTACCATCCTGCTTCCTGCCCAGAACATAATCTGTACATCACGAGGATAACCAGCTCATATATTCTTTTGATCAGTTAAGAGTTCAGTCCTCCAGCAGAACAGAACTTTTGAATTATTAATACATTCATGAACAAAAGACACATTTCTCATGGTTGTAAACAAACTAATCTATTTAGTCTTGTATTATTTATGGCAGCCTTCAAATAGGGAAAAGTCTTAAAATCTCGTCCTTTTTACCCTTACCCTTAGAAATTTTGGATACGAGTTTGAATATCTTTAGTGTCATGGACTACTAATAATGGAAAAGAAAGTGGAATTTCAGAGATCTTGATAGCAGCGTCAGATCAAGAGGCAGAAACTTCAGGAGAAAATCAGCTCAGGAAATATTCATGGCACCAACTGTTGACACTAAGCTAATTCCTGCCCTCACTTACAATGCAGTTCAGCCCTTATAACTGCTACAACTGATTTTCTTCTATTTTGTGTCATTTTTCCACTTATCTTCCTTATAAGAGCAATTCCTTTATATCTGTTTTGCACAAACCAAAAGTCTCAGCCCTACAGTTAGCTTTGCTGCAGCCCACTGAGCTATTTGCTAGATTTGTACATAAACGGCAGCACAAGAAGCAGGTAAGCTTTGCTTCAGGTGACAGACAAACACAGCCACCTCTTTGCAGACTGTGTCCCATGCTATGACAGGCAGGTCTGTAGTCCTTTATCAAGGCTGTATGCAGTCAGGGGTGTCAAACTGGAAGGGACAGAGAAAGTAAAAAATGAGGAAGATCAGGAAGAAAGCATAGAAATACAAAAACAGGAAGAAGTTTTCACGTTACTGCCAAGTGCTGAACAGCCTCAAATTGGACACAAAGAGCACATCAGGAGAAAGCTTTATTTAAAGAATAGAAAAAGTGGAAGGTTTTTTTTTTTTTTTTGCATAAACTTCATAGGAAAACACAGTTTGGGCTGAAGAGTTTCAACCAGAAGAGATCCTATACTTGTAAACAGCCTATTTAGAAACTTTAAAATTTAAAATGTGTTTTTTTGTTGTTTTTGTTTTTTTAAATAGGAAACCAAGGTTTCTGCACTAAATATAGTATAGTCACATTAAATACTTCTCAGTAGTTGCAAAGAAAAAACATTTGGTTCGACCCAGAATTAATTCACAATTAAACAGACCATTTCAACACAAACTTTCTACCTGTAAATATGTATAAATATATATGTAAATATAAATTTCAAGACAGTCACTTTGAAACTGTTTTTATATACCCAAGGAGGGGTTGTTTGTTTGTTTGGGCACCAAGCTGAAATACCAACTCCTCACAAACAATGGAAAAGAACATAGACTTACCAGTCTGCAGAGCTAGCTCAATGAAACACTGACTGTAGGTATCCAAATTTGTGCTCCTTCCCAGAATTTAGGTATCAGGGCTACATGCAGGTGCTATCAATTACATGTGATTACAAGGCTAGAGCAGTCCTGCTGGTAGGCAGCCAGTATTAATCTTTACCAAAAGAAACCCCCCCCCCACCCAACACACACACCTTTGGTGGAAGATTATTCTCAGCTTGAATAGACTTCTCAGCCCCAGGGAAGGTGTGATACTAATCAGGGTGGAGGTGAGGCAGGTTAAAGACACACCTGCCTTCAAAGTTGTGCTAGGGAGCAGCTCATCAGGGGGGAAGGAAAAGACAAAAAGCGTGAATGACAGAATATAGCCATTGCAGCTCTCAAAAGAGAGAATTGGATTCATATTGGAGTGGCTAGAGATGCTTCCTGAAGCTTTGAGTAGCATACCTTAGGGACCACTCTCTTCTTTTTCATTGTTGTTCAGCTCTTGGCAGCTGTGCAGTGGGAATGCTGACTCATGGAAGCTCCTACTCAGCCTTTTCTGAGGATCCCATGAACCACATGTGGAAGGGAGATAACTAATTCTTGATTCAGCTCTAGCGGAGGGGTCCGACGAGTCTTACACCTCCTAAATCCATTCATGTCTTCTTGTGTGGATTGGTTATGGTTTCACTCAAATTATGAACGTTTTGAGTACCCCTAATTCTCAAAGGCAGTGGTGGATGCAACAAGTCAGAGAAAATCTCTATCTCTAGCCCTGGATAAAATAATGAAGATAGATGACTTCTTTGTCTTCCTCACTGCAACATTGATGATGAAGAGAGATTGTCAACATAGTAAAGCATAGGAAAATTATATCAGAAATCAACACTTTATAGTGGGTAGAAGAAGAGAGGGATAGCATTCTTAAGCCAAATAAAGAGCTTTTGAAAAAATTCTGAAATTGTTGGGAAAATCAAGGGATGGACAAATCTGCATCCCTGAGTGTCTTTGTTTAAGGAAGTCATTTAACAAAAGTCTAGATACGATCCTAATCCTCTTTGGCTCAGGAGTTTGGCACGAGTGCCTTAAGAAGACCCTTCCAGTACTCTCATCTATGATTAACGATTTTATCCAGCTTCCACTGAAGAAGCTGGAAAAACTGCATTACCTTCAATGGAAACATGACGGCTCTAGTTAGAGTGAGGTTTTGTCGCAGGGAGATCTCATTGCAAAGACAACTGGCCTTTAACAAAAAAGTGATATTAATTATACTTTTTTTCTGTTTCAATCCAGCTATGAAATAAATGTGCTTTAAAAAAGAATTCAATAAACCCTTGGTACTAGTTTTGAAAGAAAATGTCTTTAAATAAAGGAAGCTGAAAGGAAAACATTTATAGGATTTGCACTCCTAGAATGCAAGATATGTCTTCTACTCTGTGCTGAGTACACCCAAGTTCAGCCTTCCACGATAAGCTTCTGCATTCCCAGTTACCTACATCCTTAACTGGCTGATGCTATTTGAAACTTTTTTCTTCTCGCTACCAGTGCATTAGTATGCTCCCTACTTTTGCTGTCATTTAACTGCTGAAGCAGTGTCATTCCTGACTGCTCTTTAGGCTTAATTCTTAACCTTCCACGGTAAAGTCAGGCTTTCTGTGTGTGCCACTATGACGAAACTGAATGAGGTGGTGTTATTTGTACTGAGGGTATATTTTTATATATTAAGTCCATATAACTTGTGAGAATAATTTCATGTTTAAGTATTCTGCCATGGAAACACTGATTGCAAGAAAACCAGAAATTATTAGTCTTTTTCATAGTAGATGCGTTCCAAATGTCGACCGTAATTTTTTCTGAATGTTCTTTTTAAATGAACTATAACGAATGTTTTGGAAGATACATTACAAAAGCATGATTTCACTTTGGAAGATGGAGCAGTAGAAAAAAAAGTATATTATAGATAGACCTACTTAAAAATGAATTATTTCTATTAGAATATAATCTGGGCTCCTGAATTCTATTGCAAAATAATTAAATAATGATTTAAAGCAGAAAATGTGTTCCATAAATACTACATGAACTAAGATATTAAATAGTTTCTTCCTAGATTTTTTATTCCCCATGATTTTTATATAGGGTGTTTGGCACATTCATTATTACTAAAGGAACAATAGGATTCCATCACTTATATGGACTCCTGCAACATAGTATAGTGCTATAGCAATTATCTTTAATAGATCCTTCTGTACAGCATTTGAGAGTTTTCTGAATCAATTCATCAGTATGAATACCATCCATATTTTGTTCAAATCTAAAATATCATATTATTTCTTTGAGAGCCACAAGGACCACAAAGCCCGATCGACGCCCTGAGAATATTGAATGTTACAGTCTGCTCTAATGTCATTACTCCAAAGTGCATATGCCGTTTGAGACTCTTAAAATGTCATTGTTATTTCTGTTGCACTGCCATTAAGTATCTTGGTAGCTCTGTAGATTATCCTGATCTGGACTCCATCTGAGGGCAAGATCCAAAGCTGGGAGAAGAAAAAGCAAAAAGCAGGCTTGAATTCTAGTTTGAGACTACGGCTAAAGATAACATCTTGTCAGAATACAGATTTTAGTCTAAACTTGACACTAGTGTTTGCAAGAATTTACTCACACAATTTAATGCAATTGCATTAATGTAACTGAGAACATTAGTTTTCATTTTTCATAATATCAAACAGAATTTGATTCCAAGCATGTGCTATATAAACCACTACAGTAAACATTCTAGGAATCTCAAAATAGAGTAGAAAACAGTCAGTCGTCTATCTGACAGTAGAAGAGGGACACTGAAGACAATGTCTACCAGTCCCTACTGATCTCCCTTGAGCAGTTCCAAATAGCCATTCTTATAGTTACCATGGGTGTAAGTCATGTAATCAGTTAAACGAAAGTTTAAAAAAAAAAACAGCAAGAGAGCTGCAAATAGTAGAGTTTAAGCTCCTATTTTTAAAACCAACTTTTTGTTTTTAGCACTTCATTCATGATTTTTGAGCTCTCAGTAAAAAATAGATGCAATTTCCTTACAGTCTTTTATATGCAATAGCAGGAAGACCATTAAATGTGACACTCTTTCTTGCCAGTATAACAAAAAGAAAACTAATAGAAAAAAATATGGATATATACATACTTTTGGAAGATATAGTATGAGAGGGCTAGGTAAGCCTAGCCTGTCAAGGAAAAGGCAGGAGAATGTCCATGGCAAGTTGATACGAGAGATGCTGCAAAGGGACAGGTAAATATTAGAGTCCAGGAAATGCAGCAAGGCAGGAAAAGACCTTGGGTGAGACAGTAGAATCATCCGTGAGAGGCAGAGGAGGGACATACAGGGAAATTTGGTAAGTAGACAGAGAGACCGCAGAAGGAAAGAACAAGAAAGTAAAAGGGGAGACAGCGGGATGGGTGACGGGGATGTAACGACACATTCTTCTAACCGAACACCTCTTGCCACCTGGCTATTCTAAACATCTCTCATCTTGTGACTTAATACTGGTTCTGGCAAATTGTGTGTTGCCAAATTTCCCCCTGTCCCTGACTACACTTTTTCAGTCACAGTCCTTGAGCAGGCATTGATGGATGTCTGCAAAATATTTCTGTTATCTGAATGCATTAAGCCTATCTAGCATCTGATAACAGGAGTGCAACATTGAGTGACAGGAGCAAAAATCAGAAAAATGAAAGTTTTACATTCCAGACAATGAGAAGGAAGAATTGTCCAAGCACCAAGTGACTGTGAATTTTTAGTATATTTGAATTTGTAAATGAAATAACATGGTTCTTCTAGAGAAAAAAAAACTAATAAAAATAAAACCAAAACTTTGACTCTTTCAACTAATTCATAATGGTTTCCTGAGTTCTGACTCATGATTTTGGACATCTGGGACTGACCACTGTAGAAGTCATATTTTACAAACACTCACAGGGATTGTTAACTTTTCCTGTAAGTGCTTTTCCCAAAAGTTTTTGAGGAATTGTCTTTTACTGCAGTTAAATTTATTATTTGATTTATTGCACAAATGCACTTCAAAAAGTGGCTTTGGGATTTTTCTGCTGCTTATCTAAATCCCGTAGCATTTAAAGAAACCAACCATACTAAAAGAGAGAGACAGCAATACAGCTGTTATTCATTGTGGCATCAATACAGCTAGCTATAAGATTGCCTTACATGTACAACAGAAACCTTCAATGGAGAGATTCTCTGTTATTGGAAACAGGAATAATAGGGACTTTCTATTTATCTAAGCATTTATAATCACTTTTATCACCGTAGCATCTGATTGCTGGATAAAATTTGAACTTTATCATCATGTTCTTCAGATTTCTATCAGCTATTTCCTTAAACTTAATTTCTTTCTTATTTTTCATTAGTAAATATACCTATCTAGATGTTTAGATGGCTTCTGTTCATATTTAATCTGAATATTCTTAGCACAATATGAACATATTTATAATTAGTAACTTTAATATGTAACATGTTCATGAACATGGGACCTGAGGCATACAGGACATGGAAGAAGAACGAAGGTTAAATTTGGAAACCACATCCAAGTCTCTGATGATGGAAATTATCTCCAGTAACTATCTGGCTAAATCTTTGTCCCCTGCCCTGCAGTAATCTTACAGACTCCCACTAGAGCCGACAGAGAGAAAAAGAGGCACCTTCCAGAGAGACACTGCAGAAGAAAATTTTCCTCTGTTAACCCTAAAGGGAGCCTGAATGACTATCTAAGAGCCCTGCATTTTTAATAAACTGGTCCCTTAACCCCAATCATAATCTTCCTTTCCTTCTTCCTGCTTTTATTTTCCTGTTTTCATGCAGATTCATAAATATACAGCCTTTTACAGAAAGCATAATGTGCCTGAGGAGAGCACGTCAGAGTTCTGTCCCCACGAATGAAGTGCATAAAATCACCAAGAGCTCAGCTGATTTATGTGCGCTCAGTATAGCACTGCAGTTATGCAGTCATTCCCCTTCTCTAAGTATCTATTGAATTTGTGGTGGTTGAGCAACGCAGTTAACCCCACCAGCATGATTCCAGCAGCCGCATCACAAAACAGGAATACAACTGAGCATATGTCAAACCAATATATATATTCCAATTAAAGAGTCATTTTGGAAGAGCATTTTATGGTCATCCAGCAAGTACTGCATGAGATGCACCTCTGTGAAGGTGCAAGCACTGAGAAAGAGGTGTCCTAGCTGTAGTAGAGCAAAAGAGAGCAAGTTAATTTTTCTCCAAGTCAATAATTGTACAGCATCTCTTAATCTCTTTGGTTTTGTTTTTTTGTGTTTTGCTCTCCAGGCCTTGTAATGGGATTAATTATACGATATGCAACAAAACCATCAGATGTTGAAAGTGGAACTGTTTATGAATGTGAAAAGCTGAAATCTGGGCCATCCACTCTACTCATTAATATAACTAACCAAGTCTATGAATATCAATACAAAAGAGAGATCAGCCATCACAATGTCAACGGTCACCAAGGCAATGCAATTCTTCAAAAGGTAAATCTTTTCTTTTCGTTCTAAACTGTGTAAGATATTTCTTTGACTTACACACTTGAGAGAGGAAAACAAGTTTCAAGTTAAAATGTGACACAGGGAGTTAGAGGCTATTCTGAATTTAAGGTGAGAAAGGTAAGTAAGGAGGGTGAACAGAGAAAGGACGTAAGAGGCAGTAAAAACCTGACCGTCATTTAGTTTTGCAATCTGAATTCAGCTGGCTGTATGCTTGAAGACTAATTGCCTGAACTCTCTCACGTGAGAGAGAGTCCCACCCCTCTGAAAACATGGATTTCATCAGGAGCAGTGGCAACAGTTACCTTGGGCCCATCCCCACCACAACTTTATTAACCTCACTGACATCTTTCTTTGTCCTCTGTCTTAAATGTGACTTGTTTCTGGCAGCATCACACAGGGGAGGTTTACCTCCTGTGTACAGTGGAGGTAACTACAAGCCCCAAACAAACATTTTACGTGGTATGAACTTGTAAACAAGTAAACTTCTATGGAATGGATTTTTCCAACGCTTAAATGCATTACAGCACTCTCATGCATTCATGCGCCCGGGCAGTAGTGGGGGTGTCACTGGCTATCCCCAAGCTTGCACAGACAGTCCTAGGGCAATTCTGGCACGGTGCAAAGAGGAAGTGAGAGGGGAATTTTAGAGTCCTTTACAAGGTCATGGCCTTTTTTCTGTTTTCTAGTGTATAACAATTAAATATTTATCTTGTTAGTACTATCTTAATAACTTACACTGTTCTTGTTTTGTATGATATTCTTCTCTTAAAACCTCCCCTGCGTTATGTGTATGAGTGTGCATAGGCACGCACGTGTGCACTCACACACCCACACAAGCCTACTACCAAAGTTTCTGTTGAGATCCCTACCAGCTAAAAAGGTTAGAGCTGCTGCTGGTCTGGAGGCAGGTTGGTCAAATCACACTACGGCACAATGGACTCAACACATTTCCCTCATCAATCATGGGAAAATATTTACAGCTAAATCTTGTCAGTTTTAAATAGTTCCACTGGAAAAGAAATATTGTTACATTTCAAAGAAAATGTGTTACATTCATATATCTACATTTTCTTTCCCCACCCTTGCAACCTCAACTTCCTGTGTTCACTTTCTAAAAAAAGGTCAACTTAAAAAACCCATGAGTGAAGAGAGACTTTTTAAAAACAGATTTTATGCTCAAAGACATCAAATATTCACATGAAGGTTCTAAGCCCCTCTGAAATTACCATTTTTTACAACATTGAAAAATATTACTTTGCTTTTTTCAAGTATTCTTCACGTTTATCTAGCACAGTAATACATGTTCCTGTGTATTATACTGGTTACCATTGACACTTTGAAGTCATGCTTAGAAAGTACACTGGGGAACTCCAGTACCTCAAAGTCAGCAGAAGTAGAATTTAACCATCCGATCGAACTGCTTGCTGATGCAGGACCGTTGTGTGCCCGCCTGTTGCTGCTGCCAGATTCTTGTGATTCTCAGAAAGAAGTTATCTTGTCCAGGGCTGTGCGAGCTGGGTGGGTGGAGACAGGAAAATACTGTGGCAGACCAGTCAGGTTTTGCTGAGTCCTCATCCTTTTTCCTGCAAGTTGGTTGCAAGAGCTTTGTCTCAGTCAAAGTGTGTGTTTGGTTTCCAAGCTATATGTACTAGTCTACCACGTTTGAACGTCGTCACCAAATCAGGTACGCTGAAGGTGGCTTGTATCAGAAGAAAGGAGGAGCGCAGGAAGTCCTGTTGCCCTTGCAGGGCATTGCCTGAGCCTCTTCTCACCGTCTTACCTTGCAGAAAGGCCCTTAAAAGTCTCAGCTGTGTAGTTAGTACTGTGGATTTTTCTAGATTAAAGGAGAGGGCTCAGCCCACTATTATATCCACTCCTTTTTCCCTTAAAATTATCTGGCAAATGCCCTCTTAAAAAGGGGGAGGGCGAGGGGAGAGGGAGGAATTCAGCAGCATTTAGGAGACAAAAACAATGCCTGGCAGCCTTCCTGACTGTGGCAAAAGTAGTGACATAAAAAATAGAAAACAGGATTGCACCGTGCTCTGACTGTTTGTACAACTGCAATTCCCTTTTAACCTCAGTACAGAAGTTTACTAAGCACGTTTATCAGAAAGAGCAGTCTGTGCCATGACTTACAAATATGCATCCTTTACAGCACAGTTTTGAATAACAAAATATGCAGGCAGGACTTTCTGATGCCTGTGGAAAAAATTATATTATTTGCTGAATTAATCCCAAAATTAACATTTGAGACTCTTAGTTTATAAGTGAAACAAAATTCATTTTCTATTTTATTTTCGATAAAATTGTCAGCGTGGCTAAAGTTGCTAACACATTATTTGCCAGCTAGCTCTTATCAACTTAATAATTCAAAGTAAGCAGAACGGAAAAAAAAAAAAAGCTGATCTCTCACTTCCTGCTTATCAAGTCACGTTATCTGTTAGTGAGAAGACAGCAGTGCTTTTGTAGGCAGATCTTATTCTTTGGAAGCCAAATAATTCATCCAGTATACTGTAGCCTTAAAATGTCACTTTAACCGAACAAAGGAGCTGCAAGCCATTGTGCTAATTATACCCTGTCTCTTTTAAAGGTATTGATATAATATATCCCAATGACAGAACAGTGAATTACACAGGCTTATTAAAATACTTTTTTTCTCTGGCAACATTGTGGTTTTAAACAGGATTCCGTTTTACTGAAAGTTACTTGAAATGAAGTGCAGAGGTTGAACACTGTCATTGCTCTCCTTCTGTGCCTGAAGTTGATGGCAAATACAGTGTACTGACAAGCACTGGGGAAAGAACTTTTTGCCTTGCCTAATGTCATGTGCATTCTAGCATTATTTAAAAGATTTAGTGAGTATTCTATTATTTTGCTATTGCAGAAGCAAAGATGCATGTGTAATATATATAACATATAGTGTTAGCTGATGAATGCACTTTACTTGAAATCTAGATGCTTTACCAGTTTCACGACACCTCAATATCTGCAACAGCAGTCAGAAAACAGAATCGCATATGGTGACTGAAATGGTTTACACTTTCTGTTACGTTTTGGTCTTTTTTTATTTAGACCTTCTTCATCCATTTAAGGGAATGTTCTGCTAGCGTAAAGCTGGTTTGCCCAGCTTTTATGCCATTTATCCCCTTCACGTGCCAGGAACACTGGAACACACAGGAAAGGAGGAGAGTCAGCTGCTTCCGGAGGATGGAGCTAGGTTGTTGTCTATCAGTTCCTTGCTGAAGGACAGTCCCAGAGCCTGCCACTGGTTGATACAGATCAGCTCTCTCTGTATGCAAGCGCAAATGCACCAGGAGAATGCGAGGAACGTCAAATGTCTTTTTCGAGAATAGACTTATGCTGAATATGATATAGGACAAAAGTCTTAGAAACGTAATTTGTTTCCAAAAGACTGTTTATTCTATGCACATATGCTATTATATTGAGTTCAAATCCTTCATCTAGTAGCTTTTAATAGAGATTATGCAGATTTCATACCTAACTGAAAGAGGAAGTAATTAACTAGCTCTCTGGCTAGTACATATTGATGTAGTTTCTCTGAAGTAAATGTATTTAGAGCACTTTATACCAGCTTACATTTATACTATTTACAGTTTCAGATCCTCAGCTGGGTCTTGAGAATATTCCAAGAATATTCCAACTCTGAATAACATACTTTCAGTTCTGAAAGCAAATAGCAGCTCTATTATTTCCTTGAAGAAAATCAAGTTAGTCTTTGCAGAATGGCTGAATCTAATCTATAGTTTATAGAACATATAAAGTATACCTTTGATGCCTATAAACAGATATGAGATATGTAGACAATATGATGGAGTTAGTGCCTCTCGGATTTCCTTGCAGAGCAGTATTTTGCATTTTTGCTAACAGAGAAGATTAATAAGCTGCTATCTCAGCAGTACAGATGACTGTCACCAGAAAGATATTTCAGTTTCATTGCTATGAAAATATGACTTGCAATGTCACAAGCAACAACGCAGTTAGAAATACAAAAAACAGCACAGAAGTAACGATATTATCAGTAAATCACTTGAGCTGCTAATAATTAGGCACATCACAAAACCCTTAATTTGAATAACACCTTCTAAAAGAAGTGTCAAACCCTTTACATCTGGAAGAAAAGGCTTCATGCCATTTGTGAACTTCAAGTTTCATCAGGCAGTGCTTCTGCAGGAAAGGGCAATCTGTGCCTTTCCAAATTTACATTTCGTTAGCAAGTAGAAATAGCCAGTTACTTTGGAGAGTCCAGAACGTGTTTTGTTGCAGTCAGTCCAAACTGATTCCCTGGATTGGATAGATTATATTTACTGGATGTGTTATGAGGGAAAAGAAGCTAGAGAAGCAGTCAGTGGACTGGCTGAGAAGCCGTAGAGCAGGAGCCTGGGCTGGGAGTTGTGCAGAACTGATTATACAATTATAGTGTAATGAGTTATGTCACTTTTGAGTTGTATTACCTAACCACATGCCGTTCCTTGCCTGCTAAACGTATGAGGTGAAATGTACCACTTTCGATCACTTGTCCGTTAACTTGTCAGGATGTAATGAAGATGGTCTAGATGTGCACACCTTTCATGTGCAGTAGTACAAGAAAGCACATATTGTTAGCTGATAGCCAAAAGCTCATTAAGCAACATTAGCAGGCTCTGTCTGTATGTAAATTGACACGCTTGTAGAGAAACATTACTTTGGGTTTTTGGCAGTGCAGGTGTTTTCTGTTATCACCATTCTATGAGTGGGAAATTGAGGCACAAGGTTGATAATGTGTCTTTCTTGAGACTGAACAGGCAGCCCGTGCCTGAACCAGGACTGGCAAGGTGGATGGTCTGAAGTGCAGGTACTTACTGACAGATGTAACATTCCTTGTAGGTGTTTCACTTAAAACAGTGCATGGCTGATTTCCATCTAGTTAATATTTTAAACATTCAAGTGGTATTCTCTATATATAAGCAATAAGGAAATATACATTCATACTTACATGAAAATAACTCTGAATCACATTCTGGCCCCCAGGCATTCATGTGTAACTCTTTAAAGCTGACACTGAGACTAATCCTGATAAAAAGGTACAATTAAGACCTATTCTGTTAAATGAAATGCTGCTTTATTTGTCCTTACACTTTCTTTTTTCCTTTCTGACAGATGACATTTGATCCTTCTATCTTCTTCAACATTTTACTGCCACCCATTATATTTCATGCTGGATATAGTTTAAAAAAGGTATGTGCTTTTTTCTTATGTTACAAAAGCAGGTGCATGTGATTGCTGCTTTGTAGATCCAAAAGGCCGGTGACATAGAAGAGAAGTCAGTTAACCTGAAATTCTATTGCATAGCAATAACCTGAAAGGAAGGGGGGAACATGAAAGATACGTGGACCTCATTCTGCCCCCTTTTTGCACCTGTGCAAAGCTTTGATTGTGCAGTTTGTAACATCTGGGTGTATTGCAGTGTTCAGAAGAGACCACTCCGAATCTGGTGACACTGCATGTAGGCGGCAGCCTATCAGAGTTGTATATACTGCATGATCAGGACTTAGTGAGTTCAAGGGACGTGATTCAAGGGACGTGAAGGACTTAGTGAGTTCAAGGGACGTGATTATGGTAATGTTTGCATCAGATACGTTCAAGATGAACTTCTGTTATGATACTGGAGTATTTGGCCACATATACAAAAGAGAGAAGTTCAATGGCATTCCAGCCAGCAAAACATGAATGATCTAAAATCATATTTTCACAAATATCTTCTGTAGCCTATGTTGTTTCATTTTACATCTGAGCTATTGGCTATAGCAAGAGCAAGAATAGATGGAATGGAACTTTTAGGTGCAGTGTTTCAATTTGGCTTTATTGCTCTGTTACTAACAAAAGGCTTTTTTTCAAACTTTCCTCCCCAGAGGCATTTTTTTCGTAACTTAGGATCAATTTTAACCTATGCCTTTTTGGGAACTGCTATCTCCTGCGTTGTCATAGGGTAAGTGAATGCCTTCTGCTACTATTATTATTGAAGTCAGTATCCGTGGTCTGTATTTTTTCCAATTACAAACTAAACTGCAGAAAGAATTGCTGACTCTGCATAGTCAATACACTTCACAATGTGTGAAGCAGATAAAGCAACTCCTTATCAGGGAATGCTGAGATGGAAAAGCCAAGACTCTTGGATGGTAAGCCCTTTCTGAAGTACTTAAGAAATTGCATCTCTCATTTCTGGTTTGTGAGCAACATAAGTATAAAAGGCTTTCTACAATCCTGTAGCCTGAACTACCTGTCCCAAGAAAGGGAACTACGCTCCTGGTTGAAATTATGCTTGAAATCAGAATTCCTTCTGCAAGAGAGGAGATGTCTAACAGGAAAGGCGGCATTTTAAATCTTGACGGGGCATGAAAGGGGGAACACAGATACTTGGTGGCATATGTGCAAGAGCTGAAGTCATTACTGAGGGCCAAGGGATATTTTTTATTTGAAGGTCTTGCTAAAAGCCTCAGTCTGAAACTGTGTGTGAATTTAGCTTGGATATGACTAAACAGTATCTGCATAAAAAGCCAAAGGAAGAAAAACCAGGTTGGGGGGAGGGGGGGGATCCTGTTTTATTTCTATACTTCAAAAATGAAAAATTTCTAATTTTATTTCAAAATTTGCCTAATTAAAGAAAAGTCAGAAATAGATTATATATTTCCAGGCCAGCCTGAAATGACATTTTTGCTTTTCTGTTTAGTTAGCTCAAGTAAAAGTAAATAAATCATTTTAAAATCCTTTATGAACTAAAAAGTGCATGAGTTTCAAAGCATTAACGAATACCGTGCAGATACTTCAGCTGTCACGTTCCAGGTGAAAATTGACTGGAGTTGGATTCTGCAATAAGAGGGTATTTGTGCCTGCACAGAGCCTTGGTCTTGCTGGGACTGTGTAGAATAAAAGTGGGAAAGACTTTCACACGGGGTGTTCAGCTTTTAAACTAGAAAACATTGGGTCTTGTAGGATTTACTCAAGGTCCTGGGCTGTGCCAGGTCTCAAATGTACCATTTACATCTCTCTGTACGGCTTGGAAAGATTCATGGAAACACTTTAGTTTTTATGGAAGTGCTTTAATTTAAACCTGATTAGGATTCTGAACCTATGAAAAGCACTTTCAAATTATAGAAGCAATTAATTTTTTACTTCTGTCTTCGGACTCCCTTTCTTTAAAATGGACCTTTAAGTAAAGATGTATGTATGTGCTGCATCAAAATATATGTTCCTTCTTAGCATTATTATGAGATGGAACTTTCTCCTTTAATGTCATTTTGATATTAGTAAAGCAAGCAATTGACCTATAACCTAGCGTTTAATGATTTTAAAACTGGTCTTTTATGGGGATATCATCATATCTATCTTGACATCTTAGATTCCAAATAATAAAGTATCTTACAAAGAGTAGTTTACCTGGGTCACTGTGGCTATTAAATATTCTGCAAGCTACGGTCACTCCAAATATCAGGAAATTTTACATTCCACAATGAAAAGCAACATTCAATGTATGATCACCTTCTGTGCTGAAATAGAAAGGAATGTAAAATCTGTATGTGACTGCTTCCCCTTCACACGAGAAAAATTGCTGAACATTGCTAAGCAAAAAGGACACCTTCCCCTTCAGACACAAATCTGTAATTCAAGGAGACAATGTGCCATGTGTCCAGCTTGTCAGAGATGAAAAGTGGAAAAACCAGGTCTTGGAAATCACTGCAGGTTTTCCAACAGAATTTATGATTTTTTTTGGAGAAGAAGGTGTCTCTGTAGTATAATGGAGTTGCAGGTAGTCATACAGCCAGTGATGCAGGAGGCCTTAGGGACTGTGATCTAAGTGGAAGAGTCCTGATTTTCTTTCTGAAATTTGGCTTTCTTTCTGAAAATGGCACCTCATCCTCTGACCTCTCCTCTTGCTTGTTCTCTTTTGGAGAAGGATGTGAGGCAGAAAGCTCTGGAAACCATGGGGTCCTTCTTTTCTAATGGAAACAACAACAGAGTTATAAAAACCTGGAATATGCAGGATTCTACACAGTTAAACAATCAGAACAATTTCCTGTCTGGTTACTTGATGGAGCTGAATGTGAAATTCTATTTACTTCTCTCTGAGGCTCTATGGCTTGTGATAAAGCCCCAAAGGCACTTATCTATGCAAATGAGAAATAGCAGTATTGCAGCACTGTCATTTAGTGGATGAATGCCTGCATGACAGATCCATGAAGATCACAGCCTGGACAACTGCACAGTTCACAATTCTCCCCATCTATGTTCGCAGTAATATCCATCTTAGTAGGAGCCCAGCTCATGGAGTTGCTTCTATTCACACCCATTTATATGGCCAATAGCTCCACTAAGGTTAGAAAAATAAATCCAGTAAAATTCTGCATCCTGATAATACTTTGAGCTGAATGCTGACATTTCACTGAGATAACACTGGTTCTGGCTCTCATTAGAACTATTCCTGTGCTTCCTCTCATTTGTCTTAACCCCCGGACATTTCTCTCCTGTAAGCCAACTGTTAATAGCTCTTTGAGACTGCAGAAAAGCAGTAGGACTGTCCAGCCCAGTAATGCCTTTAAATATGCATTTGCTCTCTGAGCTCTTTCATGAGATATTGCCCTTGGTATCAGGAAAACACCAGAGCAGCTTTAATAAGCTTGTAAAAAAAAACAAAACAAACCACAGAGTTTAGCCTAAATTCCAAATGCTATGTTTTCTGTATCCATGTTACTTTATCTAAAACAGAATAAACGCAGATAGACTCTACTACAGCAAGATCCTGCTCGCTTCAGCAATTCAAAGTTCAAGCCTGTAGTCAGGGATAAAGATCCAAAGGAAACCCTAAGAAACAGGAATAAACACTGAGTAGCACTGGGCCTTGTACTGTGTTCATATGAACCCACAACTCCCACTGAAATCATTGCAGAGAGGCAGATAATATATTCAGAATAAGGTCTACTGAATATGAAGCATGTTTGCATAATGGGACAAGAATGAAACGATGTATGCATGAAGATGAAAGGAAGATAATACAAAAATTTTACTGAAGGGAAGAAAAAAGAGGTTCTAAAAGATATACCCTAAGAGAAAAGGAATGAAAAGCTATACCTGTTTTTACAACAGAATGGACAAAAATGAATAAATAAAAACTGAGGTAGTTCTAGATTACATTGCAGTAGACAAATATTTTTGCATAGGTGTGACTGAACATGTGTGGTGTTTACTTTTTATTATGTATGCACAACACACACACATATATATGTACAATACATGAATATACATAAGCTCAGAGTCTGTGTATCTTCAGCCTCCCACCGGGTCTGTTTTCTTCCTGTCTCAGTGAATGACAAAGCACCCCATTGTGGACTTCTTTTGGGAGTCTTGCTCTAGTGACAGTGTACACATAATACCAACGAAGGACCAGACTTCTCTTTGTTTACCAGAAACAGCTGGGGAATATCATAAATAAAGAACTAGTACATCATTTGGATTGTGCAAACGCTCAAAGCCCTAAGAAGTTGCCATGGGACACTCTGGCAAAGGTAATACAATGGTGCCTGTTTCCTCATTGTAAATCTCTGCTTTTGTAAGAAAGGCTGTATTCTGGTATCAGGAAAGAGGAACTGAGGAATTTGAATGGAAAAGCTATAATCAAATATTCCCACGGAGGACAAGGGAAGGAGGGGTAAAGAGCATTGTATTTTTAGTGTAGGCAGTGTTCAAACATTATTACTTTCAAGTAAATACTGCTCTAAAGAATGCCTGGCCGTATTAACAGTTGCACTCTCAGCCGCTTCACATGTTCACAGTTTATAACTCCTAGACTCTCCTAGATGGGCCAAACTCTGCCCTTTGCACTAAGTCTGCCTAGCAAGACTCAATGCAAAGAGATCGCATAAGGGAGAGGAGAAAATCTCCCTTTCCAACTCATATGGATGCTGCAGAATTGCTGCAGAACTCATATCCTTCAGGGTGAACAGTCCGCTGGCTCTGGCTCTCCGTGATAAAAGATCCAGTCTCTCAACAGATCTTTTCTACATCAGCGGTCTCAACTTCCAATCACCTGAAGAATAGTATAGGATAACTGGCAAAATAGCTCTATTACTCCTAAGAAAATCATACAGGTTCAGCCCCACTGAGGCCTCAGAGGGAGGGAAACAGTCTCTTGCTGTAGCAGACTACCTGAGATTCATAGACTCAGAGAAAAATTTGGACCAGAGTTGGAAGCAATTTCTGGGGGTCTTGACAAAAGTCCAACCTCCCAAAGAAAGCATGACTGCAAATTTAAATCTGGTTGCTCAGCGCCTTGTCCACTTGAGTTTTAAATAGCTCCAGGAACGGGGATTCCACTGCCTCGTTTGACAGCCTGTTCCAGTACTTAACCACCTGCATTATGAACAATTTTTTCCTTATTTCCAATTGAAATTTCCCTTGCTGCAACTTGTAACCATTGCCTCCCATCTTTTCACTGTGCACCTCTCAGAAATCTGGCTTCATCTTCTCTATAACCACCTTTTAGTTGAAGACAGCAGTTAGCTCCCCCTTAGCCTTCTCTTCTCTTCTCTAGGCTGACCAAACTCAGCTCTCTCAGTCTCTTCTCCTATGCTGGGTCTACCAGCCCCTGAACTACCTTGGTGGTTCGCTGCTGGCCTCTCTCTTGTCAGCATCTTTGTACTGGGGGTCCAAAACCGGGCACTTTATTCCAGATGCACCCTCACAAGCGCAAAGGCTAATCACTTCCCTGGATCTGCTCAGTACCCTTTCACGAACACAACGCAGTTTGCAGTTAGCCTTCATCACTACAAGGATACACTTTTGACTCATGTTCAACTTGATGTCCTCCAGGACTCTCAGTTTTTTTCTGCAGAGAGCTACATAGTCAGTCACTGTGCTGTGAATACTGTTGCACGGAGTTATTCCATCCATGTAATACGTATCTGGAGTATTAGCTGTATGTCTAACTGTAAGCTG